AGAAGAGGACTTAGCTAAATCTTCAATTCACGACGACATAGCGCCTCTTCTAATGCAAAATGAGGGGTCTATACAGTATTTGAATCTTCGCGACTTACCCGAGAACAGTCACGTTCTTCAAAAACGACCATCGACAACGTCATCTACAGATGATTCAAGCACCAGCGGCACCTCTACAGATTCAAGTTTGTCGGAAACTGAGATAGTGCCTTATAGTAAATTGCAAGAAGAATCGCCGTTGAAGGGTCATGGGTGAGGGTCACAAGTTGTCCTAATTAATTTAAGTTTAACAAGGGTTGCCAAAACGATCGCAGATTGGTATCAGCGAACCCACTTTTATCGGTGTGCGAAACGCAATGAAGAGTTGCTTAAAATACTAACACTTGATGAATGATTGAAATACCAGAAAAAAACTGGTTCAACTAGCCGCATGACCTTTACGTGAAACGATCATTAAACATAAAAGCATCACTAATAATCATTGCTGTGATTGTGCTTTCTTTACTTTGTATCGTAGAAATAGACACCAGCACATACCGCTCAACCTGCAAAAGAAATAAAACATTGAAATAATTATACATTTCTAAACGTAAATAAATTTCACGCAAATCTTGCAATTTTAGAGATGTGCGTACACTTCACTCACTTAGTCACTCACCCACCTACTCCCTCAGCCACTCACTCACCCACCCACTCACTCTCTCACTCACCCACTCTCTCACCCACCCACTCTCTTACTCACCCACTCACGCAAGTTGTCCAAAAAAACCATTGCGCACACTGCAACTCAGTACTAGCTTCAAGTGGCCAAAAATGAAAAACTTCGATTGACTTGCGTGCAAATTTGATCTCGAAAAAAGTGAACGCGAGACACTGTTAGTCAACGCAAGTGCATGCAAGTCCTGGCTAAACAGGGACACAGGTCGACGCAAGTTGAAAAGTTACATCTATGTACTAAGTTTGTGTCTTTGTTTGTTCAAGCCTTTATTGTTAACATGGCAAAAAGATAACCCGCCAGAAGGGTGCCCCTGGCAAGCATGTTATCCTGTCTCGCATGTAAAATTTACAAGTTACCTAATTCTAATAGGCTCTTTCAGCTCCAGCGAGCGAAATTTTCCAAAGGAGAACAGTTTCAGCTTCTCAAAAACTTCTGAAATTGTCTGTCACAAAGCATATGAAAATTTCTACAAAGGCAACCCATTCCTACACATTACTTGCCGGAAATGCTTAGATTAATCGATCCTCAAAGAAAATTTCTTCCACTTCAATGGAAAGCACTACCTACAAAACCATGGAACTGCAATGGGCACAAAGACAGCAGATTTGATTCCTTTGCCAATATTTTCATGACATATATTGAACAACAACTCTAAGCAAAACTGTCTTTAGAACAACAGTTTGGAAATGCTACATACACGATATCTTTGCCCTATGGGACATGAGTAAACCAGACATCGAAGCCTTCATTGAACAAACAAACTTACATCACCCAGCTATTGAATTCACGGCCGAAACATTTGACACTGAGACTGCGTTTTTAGACACGGTTGTATACAAAGGCACAAGATTCAATGATCTATCCTTGATGCAAAGACACATTTTTAACAAAGGCAAACCTTCTTGCATGCACATTTCACCTCGTGTCACTCTCCAAATGTTAAAAAAAGGATTTGTCAAAGGAGAAGCCTTGAGAATCCTACGAAAAAACTCCTCAGAAACAACCTTTGAGGAAAATAATTCAAATTTAAAAAATAACGCTTGATGGACGGAGGCTACCCACAAACTTTGATAGAAAACATGCTATCAGAAATAAAATTCACAAAAGGGAGTCTAAACTCCTAAAACAAAACTACAAGGAGGAAAAAGAAATATTGCCATTCGTGACACAATACTAGCCCTCAGTGTCTACTATAAAGGAAGCTTGAATGAAAAAATGGAATCTTATACAAAACCAACTGTAACCTCAATAAATGTTTAAAGAACCACCAATCATTTCCTTACAAAAAAGGAAAATCATTAAAGGACATGCTCGTAAGAGCCCCAAGAGTTAACAAAGGTTAACCCTGTTAACCCTTAAAAGGTTAACAGAGGGATCCACGCCCGTGTGGATGTGCGGCCTGTCACCCTTTGTACTTTCTCGCACAACAGGTTTGTGAGTATTTTAGCAACAATTCCAGTTGGCTGTGTTTTACATAACAAGTGTAGTCAACTGTCTCGTTAGTAGTTAGTGCCTAGCTATGTAATAAAATAGGGTGACCCACCCCCTAAGGGTAGCTAAAAATTGCACGACCCACCCCTTGCACAAGGCTCAAAACCTCATGACATACCCCCTCTCTGCTCCGTCCCCCCCTATACTTTTTGACTAGTCCCTTAACACGACATATCGTCATTGTTGTGTACTTTGGGCACCTTTGGGCCTGCATAAGAGAACTCTGGGAATGAGGCTGTCCCGCTTGCTTTAATTTTCGCTGCGGAAACATTTGAGTTTGTAGCGCTCACT